AGTGCGATTAGAATGAATTTTTCCAACCCTTGTGACCAAGGTTGTAGAAACTGCAAAATACCACCGGAAGTAACCCTTAGAGACGACCCACCAGTTGTCTGAGAAGCCAGCCTAAACTAAGGGATTGATTATTAAGGGGGGGGGGGGGGCATGAATCTAAGTGAAATCTTAGGAAGTTTAAAGAGGGATTAAAAGCTAAAAAAGTTTTGGAACACCACCAGACAGTTGAACGCTCCACGAAAGGGCACCCCAGGTTGGTGGACAACTGTTTGGTGTACGTCTACCAATTTTTGACTTCAGATTCTAATTTTAAAACATCATCAGATCTTCAAAATTTCTTATTTCCATAAATTTTACTAATCCTTAGAGAAAAACTATTTATCTCCAAATGTACCCAAAAATCACCAAAAAATTTACAAAACAGCCCAAAACGTAGTTATTTGGGATGAGCAGAGAGATTTTTGACTGCATAAAACATTAACGAGATATTTGCGTTAAAAACATGATACCCAACCAAAATACGGCCTTCATCATGCTATCCCCGCCTTAAATTGTGAGGGATGTGGGAGGCGGGAAATTTCTCTCTGATCAATATATATCGATACTTTTTTCCATTTTTTCGATGTGTTTCTTTTGCGTGCCTTTTTTTCCAGGTGTTTTTATTTTTTCATGTTTGTCACTTTTTTCTTGTGCCGGATCTTTTTTTTTTGGGGGCAAATGCCCAGCCCCCCTCGATATCTTATCAAATCAGAGTTATCGAACACGAACAATTTTGCATGATCATCGCGCGCCGTGATCATTACCAAAGGAAAAATCCACACAACACTCAATCATAGCAATCGGAAAACAGCTGAAACAGCAGTAGTTCAGTTGAATTTAGTTTCAATTTCGTCGTCTTTCACTGGCATTTCTTGAATCATTGCCTCGTTTCCTTTGTACTTGATCAAACAACATTGAATACGAGCTTATATAAATAACAGCAATAACGACAGTGGTTACAGACGCAACTAACACTCCATGACCGGGCATGTACTAAAACCCGACACAACGAAACGAAACGAGCGAAACGAAACACCGAAACGACCGAAACGACTGAAACGACCGAAACGAAACCACCGAAACGAGCGAAACGAGCGAAACGAGTAAAATAATAAGTAAATAAATGAAAAAGTTAAAAAAAAAAAAA